GGGGTTCGGGTGTCCCCCTCCCCCCCGTCTTGTGAGCCGCCTGAGAAATACAACTGGAGGCATCATTTTACTGCCATTGCGCAATAATCCCCTCCCCCTCCCAGCCTGGCCACCCCCCTGTCCATCTATCTGAAGGACACAAGATCTGGTCCTCACTGGGCGTCTCCGAGGTGTGCAGCGAGAAGCGAGGGACAGTCTTCATATGAGATCCCTTGTTGGGGGGGGGGGGGCTGGTCTCCCAGAAGGGTCTGAAGGGGTCACTGTGCTGCTGCTCAGAAACCCTGGGGAGTGGATGTGTTCACCCCGAGGGTCATTGCACTGCTGGAGGCATTGGATATGCATCCCCCACCCAACCTCCATTGCGCCCCTCCATTGCCACACATGAGCTTGTGTCCTGCTTCAGCCTAACGCTCCACTTCCCTTCCCTTCTTTTCAAAATCTGTCTGGCAGGGCCCGGTGCCGGGGATTTCAGAGTCAGACTGACTGGGTTCCCAGCTGTGCCACTTACTGGCTGTGGGACCTCAGGTGGGACCCTTCCTCTAACTGGGTCTCAGTGTCCTCCTCTTGAAAATGGAGCAGATATTAGATTGAACTGCATGAGTCTGCCATGTTTGCAAGGCAACCATGGTTGGATACCGACAATTTCACATGGTTCAGGCTAGGAATGCCTTCTTCCCAGGGCTGTGGTGTGGATTAATGCTCAGTGGAGTGTCAGGCACCCAAAGCTCAGTGAAAGCTGATGTCCCTTCTGCCCTCTGATTTCAGGAAAGCCTGTGCTCTCCAGAGTGAGGCGAGCCCCCTCCCTCCTTGGGCTCTCTCCTCCAAGCCTAGGCACCTGCATGCCCTCTCCTGCCTGCCCTTCCCAGTCCCCTCCCTGCTACTCTGGCTCCACCAGGCTCAGATCCTGCCCCTCCTTGAGTGCAGCCTCTGGGGCTGTTTGGGCATTTTCCAGGATGCCGGGGGACCAAACTTGTCCCTCGGCATCCTGGGGGCCTCATCTATAAGCAGGGCAGTGCGGGTGAGGGGCTGTGCGAGGCCTGTCGTGAGTGTTTCTCAGGCTAGTCACTGGCCTGTGGACCGGGTGGTCTTTGGCTCTGAAATGCACACGGCGGCGGGAGTGTGGCCCTTTCCAGCCCTGGGTAGAGATGGGTGCTCAGCTGTGGGGCAGGGCTCGGAGCGGGAGGGCGCTGCAGCAGGGCTGGTGCCCTTTGGAGGCCGGGCACTGGGCAGAGGATTGGAGTAGGGGATTCGTCCCAGCCCTGTGCCCGCCCGCAGGACTTCCTAAAGAGGCCCTGGGTCAGAGCTGGGGCCAGGTGCACTCAGGGGCCTGCGCCAGGGTTCGTAGGACTGCTGTGGACAGTTCCTCCTGGGGGAAGGGAGCAGGGTCCCCTCCGGTGGGGTTGGTGGTATGTGTGGGAAGAGAAGGAAACTGACGTTCGATGAGCACCTGCTACATGCCAGGCTGGTCTTGTTGCAAGACGGGCAGCTCTGCTTCCCAGGAGGTGGCAGAGAGAGCTCCTGACCAGGATCTGGTCCTTCGAACTCTGTTCTTTATCCAAGGGATGAGATGGAGACTGAACTGGAAGAGTCTAAGGGAGGGGGATCTCCAGGGTCCTATCTTTCGGACGCCCCTCTTCCCTGTTTCATTCCCTGACCTCGGGGAACCAGGCCGTCCTACAAGTGTTACCCCCCCCGCCCCATACGACTGAGGAAGCTGAGGCTCAGAAAGGTTCAGTGACTCTCCCAAGGCCATTCTGCAGATAGGCGGCAGCGCTGGAATTTGAACCCAGTCCAAGCACCCGGGCTGCTGGCCTCCCTAGGTTCCTGATAGGTTTCCCTGCTGTCTTCCCAGATGCCTGTGGTGGCTCTATCTGTGCAACAAAGGACATGTTCTTGATCCCAGGGGCCCTCAGACAACTGGAGAGACAGGCCTTCGGCCTGCTCTTGGGTGAACCCTGCTCCAAGCAGCAAGGTGACCCGCTGCCTGCAGCCACTGGTGTCACTCTGACCATTCCTAACCCGGAATCCCGAAGTCCCAATTGGTGGAGTTGTGGCTGGATCATGGTAGCTTTGCACCAGGCCCTGGCGGTGTCTAAGTCCAGTCTCTTTCCCTACTCGATTCCGCTCAGGAGCACCTGCCCCAAGGCAGCCTCTGTTCTGGGAGCCCCCCGCCTCTCAGCAGGCTCTATAGAAGGAACCCAGTGTTCCTGCTGACCCGGGGCTCTTGGGCCCTGCAGTGGGCTTCTGGAAATCATCAGTCGTGTGCAGAGGGCTCTTCTGGGGTGGAGGTCATGGAGTGCCCTCCGGGTGGGCCACTCCCAGCCTCTGCAGAAACATGCAAGGGCTTGCTGGCAATTTTTCTCCTTTCTGGGTGTCCCCCACCCCCACCCCTTGACACTTTCCTGCTTTGCTTTTCTCCCAGTTCCTGCACTTCCTTCCTCCACCGGGTCCCACAGGGTGCTGGGAAGGACTGGTTTGGGTTCAGGCATCCATGTGGTCTAGTCGGCAGGGACTGGTGTGGGGTGTCCTGGACCACTTGTGACCGTCCCTTGTGTTAGCTCATTTTTTTAAATGTTTTATTTATTTCTGAGAGAGAGAGAGAGAGAGAGAGAGGCAGCATGAGCAGGGGAGGGTAGAGAGAGAGGGAGACACAGAATCAGAAGCAGGCTCCAGGCTCTGAGCTAGTTGTCAACACAGAGCCTGATGCGGGGCTCGAACCCACGAACCGTGTGATCATGACCTGAGCCGAAGTCAGATGCTTAGCCGACTGAGCCACCCAGTCACCCCTGTGTTAACTCTTTATGGGTTCTCTGAGAAGGGGTCTGCAAGCCTGGCGGACCCCCAGTGCCATCTTCTTGGGCCTTCCCTTTCCTCCTGCTCTGGCCCTTGTCCTCAGTCTATTCACTACATCCAAGTGATCTTTCTGGAATGGACTCGGCCTTGCTGGCCAGCTTGTGGTGGCTCTCCCGTGTTCCTGCTCTGGCCTGCCTCTCTGGCCTCATTGCTTACCAATGCCTTCCACCAGCTCGGGGATCCAGTTGTTCTGAACTGCCCGCTATTCTGAGGAGGCTCTGCTCTTTCCTGCCCCCCGCCCCCCACCATCTTTGCCCATGCTGTCCCCTGCACATTGAGTTCTCTCCTCTATCTTGCCCATTGGGTGGTTGACTCCCTTTCAACTTTGGGGCCATGGATCAATGTAACTTTCTCTCTCATCTTCCGGCTTCCCCTCTGATCTCCCTGCTCACAGGCATCCCATTCCTACTGTTTATTGAGTGAATGAGTGAATGATGAAGTGACAATTTTCTGGAGTTTCCATGAATTCTGCTGTGATCATGCTGCCCTTGGCCAGTTTGGAGCCGCTAGTATTGCTCCTCACCATTGACTCAGCCCTGGCTGATAGTCACCCAGAGCCTCGAGCTTCTGTCGCATTTGCTGCTTCTGAACACAGTGCATCCACTACGGTTTTACACAGCTTTGGCTGCTCTTGGAGTTGAATACTGGGCCTTGCATCTGGCCTTGCTATGTTTCATTTTGTCAGGTTCTGTTCCAAATAGCCCTTTCTGCCAGAAAACTGTGGTGCCAGAATTGTACTCCTGCCTGTGAGACTCAGCAGTCAAAATAATGAGACTGTAAACTGTTAGTTGAATTTACAACTTGATCTTATAACTGGCCAAATGTACCTCATCTTTATAAGCCAAATTAAATGCACGGTGAGGGATGTTTGTGATAGTTGACAAATAGATTTTACTGCTCCCTGGTTGATTTTGGCCATACTCTATAAAAACAGCCTTTAAATTAGCACTTGATGATGAAGAACATATATATGTTCACAAATGGACATGGCCATTATGTAGGACTTAAAGAATATATGAAATACGGTCTTCCTCTTTGAATAGTATTTATCAAAATGGGGTTCAAGGACCATGTGCACAGGATCACACGGGCTGTTTGTTAAAGTATGGACGTCTGGGCTCCATCCTACACTCTCTTAACTGCCTGTCCTGGTGAAGGGCTCTGGAGTCTGCACTTTGGACATGCCCCTGGAATGGGTCTCATGCTTCCTGAGGGCTGGGGACTCCCGAGAGCTTACTGACACCTAGAGATCCTACAGGGAAGGTGTATCACAGCGGTGTGTGCAATGATCTGGTGGCTCTCCCTGTCTGAATATCTGTCACTGGCGTTACCGCCTGGAGACTCTGGAGTTCACATTCCAATTTGGTCTTGACAGAGGGTCAAGGAGGAGACACCAGGGGAAAAGAGATGGGCTGTGCCAGGGCATGGAGATGCAGACCAGGCTGCTGTGTTTGGGAACTGCAAGCTGTTTTGGGTGACTTAAGCCTGGGTGGGTCAGTGTCATCCATAACCTTGATCCTACACGTGTGTAGCATGATGGGCGTGGGGAGAGAGCCAGTGGGCCAACGACCCAGTATTTTCATACCTGCAAGTTTTCAACTCTGCCATGTGTCCCCTGAGAAACAGGGCTGACAGAGCAGGTAGGGGCTGAGACCAGAAGGGTGTACTGTGTTTTGAGTTCTGAGGTTTGGTTCTATTCTCAAGGACATGGGGTGCTGTGGAAGGACCTGAGTACACAGTGGCATTTACTGCTGTCTCTATATGTAAGATGTGAGAAGAGGATTTCTAGCCATGCTCCTTAAGCAGTTCTGTATTTGAACTCTGCTTATGAAAATAGTTTATCATTAAAATAGCCTGGAAGCCTGAGGTCAGAAGGAGTTTGTATAACAAGTTCTGGCATCAGACCCGGCTTCGTATCTGAGCCCTGTTACTGATTAGCTATGTGACTGTGGGCAAGTTGCTTTACATCTCTGAGTCTCAGGTCCTCTAGGTCCCAGCAGCCTTGGGATGGGAGAAGCTAAGACCCTCTCTACCTGGCCTCCACTTCTCCCTGGAGTCTGTACAGGAGGCATGATCACTGAGAACCGTTTGTCTGTTTGCTTTGTAGGCACTGTCCCTGAATATTCTGGAATCTTCTCACCTGCACCATGAACGTCTCTCACTTCCTGGCCTTGCTGCTCCCAGGATCCCCACAGGGTCAAAACAGAAACAGGTCCAGGGGCATTCCGTACAACTTCTCTGACCACTGCCAGGATTCTGTAGACCCCATTGTCTTTATTGTCGCCTCCTACAGCATCGAGACTGTTGTGGGGGTCCTGGGCAACCTCTGCCTGATATGTGTGACTGTTCGGCAGAAGGAGAAGACCAATGTGACCAACCTGCTCATCGCCAACCTGGCTTTCTCTGACTTCCTCATGTGCCTCATCTGCCAGCCACTCACGGCCATATACACAATTATGGACTACTGGGTCTTTGGGGAGGCCCTTTGCAAGATGTCGGCTTTCATCCAGTGTATGTCGGTGACAGTCTCCATCCTTTCGCTTGTCCTTGTGGCCCTGGAGAGGCATCAGCTCATCATTAACCCAACAGGTTGGAAGCCCAGTGTCTCCCAGGCCTACCTGGGGATTGTGGTCATCTGGCTTATTGCCTGCCTCCTCTCCCTGCCCTTCTTGGTCAACAGTGTCCTAGAGAATGTCTTTCACAAGAACCACTCCAAGGCTGTGGAGTTTCTGGTAGATAAAGTGGTCTGTACAGAGTCCTGGCCACTATCCCACCACCGCATTGTCTACACCACCTCCCTGCTGCTCTTCCAGTACTGCATGCCCCTGGCCTTCATCTTGGTCTGCTACGTCCGTATCTACCGGCACCTGCGGAAGCGGAAGCGGGTGTTCCGCAAGGGCACCTACAGCTCTCGGGCTTGGCAGATGAAGCGGATCAATGGGATCCTCGTGGCGATGGTGGTTGCCTTTGCTGTGCTCTGGCTGCCCCTGCATGTGTTCAACAGCCTAGAGGACTGGTACCATGAGGCCATCCCCATCTGTTATGGCAACCTCATCTTCTTGGTGTGCCATCTGCTTGCCATGGCCTCTACCTGTGTCAACCCTTTCATTTATGGCTTTCTCAACACCAACTTCAAGAAGGAGGTCAAGGCCCTGGTGCTGTCATGTCAGCAGAGTGCGCCTGTGGAAGAGTCTGAGCATCTGCCCCTGTCCACAGTGCACACGGAAGTCTCAAAAGGGTCTCTGAGGCTCAGTGGCAGGTCCAACCCCATTTAGCCAGGTTTAGGACTTCTCTCTGCCATGGTCATTGCCAAGCTCCTTCACTTAGCCAAGTGGGCCAATTGCATCTTTCCTGGCATCATTACCGGCATTCTGGTGGATGCCATTCTTACTGGCTTTCTGGAGCCCAGAGAGGCTGGCAAGAACCCATTTTTGCCGCCATTTGCATTGTGAAGACTGACTTTCAGATGGTTCAGCCACTTGTTCCTGGGGGAATTCTGAGCATGGATTCTGCAGGTCACGGTATGCCTTGCAGCCTGAGCAGATGCCAGTGCCAGAGATGGTCTGCTTGCTGCAGATGCTCAGCCTGGGAGCCCAAGGGTTTCACCTCCACCAGGGAGACTGGGAGGTCACTGTGGACTCAGGGAAGGAGTAGAGGGGGTCAAATCTCTGGACCTTGGCCAGCCCTTCAGTTCTTGGAGAGGTGATGTTTGTGGACAGGCTTTGTAAGTGATAGAGAGGTCTATGAAGGTAAGTTATCACATCCAGTTGCAGAGAATGGATCCTGGTAACCTTGGGTCCTCCAGTTCCTCTGCAGGAGGAAAGTCAGCCCTGAGCAACAGGAGTCCCAGTATTCACATCCTGCTCCATCTTCCTCTTTCACGGCCTCTGCCACTTCATGTGGAAATAAGCCTGCAAGTATCTCCCCTTGATATGCACCTTGAGGGGGACATCTGCATTGTCATAGAGCTTGTCCTCCATGCCTAGGACAGGACCTGTGCAGGGAGAGGGCTCCAGCAAGGTTTGCCATGGCAGGCTGATGATCAACATGCCCTTGCTGAGTGCTCGGCTGAGCATAGGTGCCCAGTGCCATGGTCCAGCATGGGAAGGGCTCAGGTTGCTGCTGCCACACTCTCTTACCTTACCTTCCTAGCCTTTAGGGCCTCTCCTGACAAGGCAGCAGGCCAGGGACTCTGTGACCCTCCCCCGTGCTGACCTACTGACGAGGCTGACGGCACTCAAGGTTGTGACTCCAGCCTCCATTCCGCACTCTGACCACTAAGCTGACTTGCTCTAGGTGATTTACACCGTTGTTCCAAAGCCTCCCCAGGCCTTCAGTAGGGGCAGGGACAGGGTTTCTTGAGTTTGGCTTAATGGGTACTGGCTGAAAGGAGTAAGGGTCCTCCTTTCCCCAGCCCACCAGGGAAAATGGAGAAACAGCTACAATGAATGTGAATATCTCACTCATGGAGGTCTTGCCCCAGTTTTCTGGCTGCTGAGCCAGATCCAGGGCTTTATGGATTAGACAGGTGTGTGGACCAGACAGGTCAAGGTTGCCTCCAGGCCACTTTTAATGGGATGCCCAGGTCTGGTTCTGCCTGTTCAGTCCCACCTACCTTCTGGCAGAGTGGGCAGTGGCTAGACCCACCATGGCCTCCATGGGTGGGGTTTTCAGGTGCCCAGAGCCCTCAAGGAGTCTCACTGGGAGGCTGCTAGGCCCGCTGTTGTCAGGACATCTGGCAGGGGCCAGTCAGCAGAAGATGGAACAGTCATGTCTGACTGTCTCTCTGACCTGGCCCCTGACCGAGAACTTGTGCAACCAACACTCAAGACACGTGATCTTTGAGCCACCAGCTCCCTTCCTGGAGCTGTTTATTTCTTCCCAGCTTTTGGTTACATCTCTCTTTCTGTTCCTTTGTTGGCTTTTGTGCTGGCTTTTGGGATAGATTTTGAGCCACTGTATTGGGCACAGCTTGTGCTTGTCCTCTGGTGCCATCTGCTGCTGGCTGCTCCAGGTAACCACCTGCCAGCAAAGCCCAGACCCTGGGGCCCATCCCAGGAAGATGTCACTGACCAAGCTCCCCAAAGAATGTGGAGGCCTCAGAGACCCCCAGAGGGCATGCAATTGCCTGGAGTTTATACCTCATCACTCAAGTCAGTGGTGCCAAGATGCTTGGGGACAAGGATGCTTTAGGGTGTTCACATGCTTGAGGACAGGGGGACTGGGCTGGGCATCTGGCAAAGGTGCTTGGCATTAGGAATTGGGGTAGTGGGTGAAAGCTTTGTTGAGCATCTTCTGTACTCTGGTCACATTGCTTGGGTTGACACAACTTACCTGGATGGCTGTCTCCTGCTCCCAGTTCCTAATGACCCTTGGAGTTAATCTGGTTCTCTAGTACCCTGGGACCTTGCTGCTCAAAGTATGCTCAGAAGACCAACAGCTTCAGCATCACTTGGAACTTGTTAGATATGTGGAGTCCCTATTCTCACCCAAGACCTACTGAATCAGAATCTGCATTTGATCAAAACCCCTATGTTAATGGTGTGCATGTTCAAGTTGGAGAAGCTCTGCTCTAGGAAACAGAGTGCCTGGAGCCTGGAACCATGTGGTGAGCACCTATGGACACCCACTCTGGGATATTGAATAGAGCTCTAGGAATCCTAGTTCTGGAAATAAGGCTTTAAAATGGTATTGCTGAAAAGGCGGGTTATTCCATTGTAATTATTTGTCTCTTCTCTGTCTGCACTTGGACATATTTCTTGTGAGACCTGTTCATTCCTCAAATAAATATTTGCCAAATGAACAGTTTGTGCAGTTGCATTCTCAGTGACTGTGCCCCTCTGTGTTCTGCTTTGTTTCCCTCCAAACTGTATCGTTCTCCATGTTGCTATATGTCATTTTTGACAGCTGATTAAGGATTTAGAAGACATGTGAGTCTTCTGGTACTTCCGAATGATATCTCTCTTTAGGTCCTGGAAGGACCTCTCTCTGTCCCTGCTAATGGCCATGGCCCTGATTGTAGTGGGGGAAGCCTTTCTTCAGAGGAGCATCAGGGCTGGAATTGGAGACTCATACTCATGAAGACCACCAGGGGACCCTTAGAGGGCGCAAAAGATTATTGAACCCTGGTGGTGGGAACATAGATCCTGCCTCACTCTAGCACTTCCTTTTCCCAGGAATGACATTGGCTTATTTTTTCCCATTATAAAAGAGTGAATCATATAAATTCCTGAGAATGTGCAAAATATACAACAAAATGAAAAAGGAGATCACGTGATGCCACCTAAAGGTACTCATTGCTTACATTTCGGGGAGTCATTTCTTCAGTTTTCATGTACAGTGTGTTAGTTTTTTTATTTTTTTTATTTTTATTAAAAAAATTTTTTTTATTTATTTCTAGGAGAGAGAGAGAGAGAGACAGCGTGAGCAGGGGAGGGTCAGAGAGAGAGGGAGACACAGACTCTGAAACAGGCTCCAGGCTCTGAGCTGGCAGTCAGCACAGAGCCCGACGCGGGGCTCGAACCCACGAACCTCGAGATCATGACCTAAGCGAAAGTCGGACGCTTAACCGACTAAGCCACCCAGGCGCCCCGTGTTAGTTTTTTTTTTAAAAATGTGGTGGATATCATACTGTAAGCCTATGCGTATTTATACATAAAAATATTTTTATAATCTTTTTATGTTTAACATTATAAGAAGTTTTTAAAATATAATTTATTGTCAAATTGGCTTACAAACAAACCCAGTGCTCACCCCAACAATGCCCTCCTCAATGCGCATCACCTATTTTCCCCTCTCCCCCACCCCCTCATCCACCCTTAGTTTGTTCTCTGTATTTAAGAGTCTCTTACGGTTTGCCTCCCTCCCTCTCTGTTTGTTAACTATTTTTTCCCGTTCCCTTCCCGCATAGACTTCTGTTAAGTTTAAGAAGTTTTATTCATTCATTCAACAGATATGTCACACACATGGTAGGTGCTGGAGATACAGTGGTAAATATAATAGACATTGTCCTTACTCTTATGGAGTTTGTAGTCCAATGATTAGGTCCATCCTGCATCCTTAATTGTTATCTGTTGTGGCATATTTAGATGTTTTCAGACCTATTGGTTATAGTTCTATGATGAACTTCTATGCAGAGAACTTTTTCTGTATTTGGAATTATTTCCTTAAGAGAGATTTCCAGAAGTGGAATTAGTGGGCCAAAGGGCATGGACATTTTTCAAGGCTCATGATGTGTACTGCTAATCTGATTTTCAAAGAGTCTGGAATGGTTTGTGCTCTGTGACTAGTGCCTGCTTTTTCTGTACCCCAGCCACTGTTGAGAGGTTACTATTAATGAGCAGATCTCCATTGTTCACCTGATCCTGTCCCCGCTCACCTCCTGAACATGACTCCAGCATCCTGCATTTTCTGGGCTCTCCTTTACATAGGACTCCTCCAAAGACTTGTCTAACCTTGAGGTCTCTGCTTCTTCTCCTTCCATGCTCTTTTGTACTCACATTTACATCCAAATAGCTCTTGCCAAGGTCACCAGTGACCCCCATGTGCCAGATCCCATGGTCAGTTCTCGGTTTTGTCTTTTGTGACCAATCAATAGCATTTGGCAATTGGTCAATCCCTTCCCCTTGAGTCTCTTTCTGTGTGTGGCTTTTTCAGGACACTGCACTCATGGTTCTGCCCTGCCTCGCTGGGCCCTCCTTCTCAGGCTCCTTCCTGGGCTCTGGTCTTCCTGCCCTCAGAGTATTGGTGCGTCCCCCAGGAGACATGGAGGCCCACCTTTGATTCCCTGGGCAGGCTCACCCAGTGTTCTGGCTTTCAACACCAGTGAATGTTTACATGTCTAATGTTCCTAAATGTGAATCTCCAGTCTGGACTTCTCTCTGCTCTTGGACTTGTATATGCAGCTACTGCCTTGTGTTTACCAGACCAAACGTGACACGTTCAAAAGCAGACTTCTGATTTACTGCCTTGCCTCTTCTCCCTCAGTCCCCTCCCTCCTTCCCTTTCATTAAATGGCAGCTCTCTCATTTTATTTGCTTGGGTCACTGTCCTGGGATCAACCTTCTATTCACAGCCCATCCAATCCACCAGTGAGTTCTGTAAGCTCTGCCTTCAAAATGTACTCAGAATAATCACTTCTCACCTCTGCTGGCTCTGCCACCTGGTCCAAGCCATCACCACCTCTACCATGAGGACTGTGGTGGCCTTCTGTCTGCTCTCGCTTAGGCAGAGCAATGCTTTGAAGTCTAAGTCAAAACCGTTCCCTGGCTTTCTC